GGTGGTAGGCGGTAGGCGTGGCGGTGGGCCGTGGGCGGTAGGCAGAACGGTAGGCGGTAGGCAGTGGGCGGTGGGCGGTGGGCGGTGCGGTTTGGCGGGGCGGTGGGCGGTGGGCGGTGGGGTGGGCGGTGGGCGGTGGGCGGTGGCGAGCGGCCGTGGGCGGTGGGCGTGGGGGGTGGGCGGTGGGGGGTGGGCGGTGGCGGGGTGGTGGGGCGGTGGGCGGTGGGCGGTGGGCGGTGGCGTGCGGGGGGCGGTGGGCGGTTGGCGGAGGCGGTGGGCGTGGGCGGTGGGCGGTGGGCGTGGGCGGTGGGCGGTGGGCGGTAGGCAGAGCGGTAGGCGGTGGCGGTGGGCGGTGGGCGGTGGGCGTGGGAGGTAGGCTGTAGGCGGTAGGCGGTAGGCGGTGGGCGGTGGGCGGTGGGCGGTAGGCAAGAGCGGTAGGCGTAGGCGGTGGGCGGTGAACGGTGGGTGGTGGGCGTTGGCGGTGGGCGGTGGGCGGTGGTGGCGTTGGGCGGTTTGCGGGAGGCGGTGGGCGGTGGCGGTGGGCGGTGGCCGGTGGGCGGAGCGGTAGGCGGTGGGCGGTGGGCGGTGGACGGTGGGCGGTGGGCGGTGGGCGGTGGGCGGTGGCGGTGGGCGGTGGGCGGTGGGCGGTGGGCGGTGGGCGGTGGGCGGAGTGGTAGGCGGTGGGCGGTGGGCGGTGGGCGTTGGGCGGTGGGCGGTGGGCGGTGGGCGGTGGGAGGTAGGCGGTAGGGCGGTAGGCGGTGGGCGGTGCGCGGTGGGCGGTAGGCAGAGCGGTAGGCGGTAGGCGGTGGTTGGTGGGCAGTGGGCGGTGGGCGGTGGGCAGTAGGCGGTGGGCGGTGGGCAGTTGGTGGTTGGCGGTAAGGCGGTGGGCGGTGGGCGGTGGGCGGTAGGCAGAACGGTAGGCGGTAGCGGTGGTCGGTGAAGGTGGGCGGTGAGCGGTGGGCGGTGGCCGGTGGCGGTGGGGCGGTGGGTCGGTGGGCGGTGGCCGGTGGGCCGGTGGGCGGTGGGCGGTGGGCGGTGGGCCGGTGGGCGGTAGGCCGAGCGGCGGTGGGCGGTGGGCGGTGGGGGGTTGGCGGTGGTGGGTGGCGGTGGCCGGTGGGGCGGTGGGCGGTGGCGGGTGGGCGGTGGGCGGTGCGGGGGGGCCGGTGGGCGGTTGGCGGGAGGCGGTGGGCGGTGGGCGGTGGGCGGTGGGCCGGTGGGCGTTGGGCGGTGGGCGGTAGGCAGAACGGTAGGCGGTAGGCGGTGGGCGGTGGAAGGTGGCGGTGAGCGGTGGGCGGTGGGCGGTTGGCGGTGGCGTTGGCGGTTGGCGGTGGGCGGTGGCGGTGGCGGTGGGCGGTTGGCGGGAGGCGGTGGACGGTGGGCGGTGGGCGGTGGCGGTGGGCGGTGGGCGGTAGGCAGAACGGTAGGCGGTAGGCAGTGGGCGGTGGGTGGTAGGCGTAGGCGGTGGGCGGTGGGCCGTGGGCGGTAGGCAGAACGGTAGGCGGTAGGCAGTGGGCGGTGGGCGGTGGGCGGTGGGCGGTTGCGGTGGGCGGTGGGCGGTGGGCGGTGGGCGGTGGGCGGTGGGCGGTGGGCGGTAGGCCGAGCGGCCGTGGGCGGTGGGCCGGTGGGGGGTGGGCGGTGGGGGGTGGGCGGTGGGCGGTGGGTGGTGGGCGGTGGGCGGTGGGCGGTGGGCGGTGGGCGGTGCGGGGGGCGGTGGGCGGTTGGCGGGAGGCGGTGGGCGGTGGGCGGTGGGGGTGGGCGGTGGGCGGTGGGCGGTGGCGGTAGGCAGAGCGGTAGGCGGTGGGCGGTGGGCGGTGGGCGGTGGGCGGTGGGAGGTAGGCTGTAGGCGGTAGGCGGTAGGCGGTGGGCGGTGGGCGGTGGGCGGTAGGCAGAGCGGTAGGCGGTAGGCGGTGGGCGGTGAACGGTGGGTGGTGGGCGGTTGGCGGTGGGCGGTGGGCGGTGGGTGGGCGTTGGGCGGTTTGCGGGAGGCGGTGGGCGGTGGGCGGTGGGCGGTGGGCGGTGGGCGGTGGGCGGTAGGCAGAGAGGTAGGCGGTCGGCGATGGGCGGTGGGCGGTGGGCGGTGGGCGGTGGGCGGTGGGCGGTGGTCGGTGGGCGTCGGGCGGTGGGCGGTGGGCGGTTGACCGTAGGCGGTAGGCGGTGGGCGGTGGGCTGTGGCGGTGGGCGGTGAGCGGTGGGCGGTGGGCGGTGGGTGGTGGGCGGTGGGCGGTGGGCGACGGGCGGTGGGTGGTGGGCGGTGGACGGTGGGCGGTGGGCGGTGGGCGGTGGGCGGTGCGGGGGGCGGTGGGCGGTTGGCGGGAGGCGGTGGGCGGTGGGCGGTGGGCGGTGGGCAGTTGGTGGTTGGCGGTAGGCGTGGGCGGTGGGCGGTGGGTGGTAGGCAGAACGGTAGGCGGTAGGCGGTGGGCGGTGGAAGGTGGGCGGTGAGCGGTGGGCGGTGGGCGATTGGCGGTGGGCGGTGGGCGGTGGGGGGTGGCGGTGGGCGGTGGGCGGTTGGCGGGAGCGGTGGACGGTGGGCGGTGGGCGGTGGGCGGTGGGAAGTTGGCGGTAGGCGGTAGGCGGTGGGTCGGGGCCGTGGGCGGTAGGCAGAACGGTAGGCGGTAGGTGGTGGGCGGTGGAAGGTGGGCGGTGAGCGTGGGCGGTGGGTGGTGGGCGGTGGGCGGTTGGCGGTGGGCGGTGGGCGGTTGGTGGTGGGCGGGTGGCGGTGGGCGGTGGGCGGTGGGCGGTAGGCCGAGCGGCCGTGGGCGGTGGGCGGTGGGGGGTGGGCGGTGGCGGTGGGCGGTGTGCGGTGCGGAGGGCGGTGGGCGGTGGGCGGTGGGGTAGGCAGAGCGGTAGGTGGTAGGCGGTGGGCGGTGAGCAGTGGGCGGTAGGTAGAACGGTAGGCGGTAGGCGGTGGGTGGTGGAAGGTGGCGGTGAGCGGTGGGCGGTGGGCGGTGGGTGGTTGGCGGTGGGCGGTGGGCGGTGGGCGGTGGGCGGTGGGGTGGGCGGTGGGCGGTGGGGGGGTGGGCGGGGGCGGTGGGCGGAGCGGAAGGCGGTGGGGGGTGGGGTGGTGGTGGCGGTGGGCGGTGGGTGGTGGCGGTAGGGCCGAGCAGGAGCGGTGGGCGGTGGGCGGTGGGTGGTGGGCGGTGGGCGGTGGGCGGCGGGCTTTGGGCGGTGGCGGTAGGCCGAGCAGGAGGCGGTGGGCGGTGGGCGGTGGGTGGTGGGCGGTGGGCGGGTGGCGGCGGGTGGTGGCGGTGGGCGGTGGGGGTGGGGGGTAGGCGGTGGGCGGTGGGCGTGGGCGGTGGCGGTGGGCGGTGGGCGGTGGGCGGTGGGCGGTGGGCGGTGGGCGGTGGGCGGTGCGTGGGGCGGTGGGCGGTTGGCGGGAGGCGGTGGGCGGTGGACAGTGGGCGGTGGGCGGTGGCGGTGGGCGTTGGGCGGTAGGTAGAGCGGTAGGCGGTAGGCGGTGGGCGGTGAGCGGTGGGCGGTAGGCAGAATGGTAGGCGGTAGGCGGTGGGTGGTGGGCGGTGGGCGGTGGGCGGTGGGCGGTGGGGGGTGGGCGGTGGGCGGTGGGTGGTTGACGAGATGCATGGCATGTTGTCACTGACTTCTCATGCATGCATGTTCTTACCAACGTTTTGCTACTTCTTATGCTGCCTATGGGTGCATGGCTATGTGTGCGTGCGTGTGTGCGTGCGTGCGTGCGTGCGTGCGTGCGTGGTGGCAGCAAGGCGGAGATCATCAAGATGATGGAGCGCCGAGCCTCTGACTTCCGCCTGGATCCGGGCCTGCGCAAGTACTGCCACCGCGACATTGTGGAGGTGTGCACCGCGACTTTGTGGAGGTATGCACCGCGCCATTGTGGAGGTATGCACCGCTGCCTTGTGTAGGTATGCACCGCTGCACTGTGGAGGTATGCACCGCTGCACTGTGGAGGTATGCACCGCTGCACTGTGGAGGTATGCATAGCTGGGGCAGAGGTGTCACAGTGACTTCCATATATTTCTTGCAGCAGCCCTCTCAAGCATTCCCGTCACCCTCTCCTTTGCACAACCTTGGCATTCTTCCACTTTCGCCCACCTCTCTTTCCACTTTCGCCCACCTCTCTTTCCATCTCATGCTCTGCTCCCCGTGCCCACCCTCACACCCCCTCCTTCCCCTCCCCCCAGACGTGCTACCCGGACGCGGACGACATCAGTGACGTGGCGTCGTGGGACAGCCGTGTGATCGAGTGTCTGCAGGACTACCGCCGCGAGCTCAAGGACCCGCGGTGCCGCCAGCAGGTGCACCTGCTCACTCAGAGGGCCGCGGAGGACACGCGCTTTGACCACCCGCTGCAGCAGGCGTGCCATGGTGAGAGCCCTCTCCACGCATCCATCCCACCCACTCCCCTCTTTCCTCCTTTTCGCTAACCATCATGCTCCCCCTTGCATACCCCCCCCCCACCCCCCCCTCCCTCCCCCCGACTTCCCCCCCCCTTTTGCATGCATGTACGGCCTGGCAGAGGACCGCGAGACGCTGTGTGCATCGGTGGCGGACGGGCATGCGCGCGTGTTCATGTGCCTGCAGGAGAACCGCCAGAAGCTCAAACCTGTCTGCCGCACCGCACTTTTTGAGCAGGTCAGCCCTCTGCACCGCACTCTTTGAGCAGGTCAGCCCTCTGCACTGCACTCTTTGAGCAGGTCAGCCCTCTGCACCGCACTCTTTGAGCAGGTCAGCCCTCTGCACCGCACTCTTTGAGCAGGTCAGCCCTCTGCACCGCACTCTTTGAGCAGGTCAGCCCTCAGCATTTTTAGATTCTGTTAAATTTATTATTCGAATCTTTGAGCTGGTCAGCTGTTGTTGTGTGTTCGTTTAGGCAACGATCATTGTGGAAGTATGCCCCGTGAAATGCTTTTATGGTCAGTTGTGATCTGTCCACCCTGGTTCCCCGAAGAAGTTTCGTCTGGATTGGGGCATGTGGACTCACTCACTCACACGTCCCCTGACCCGTGGGCCGTGGCAGGAGATCCGGTACGCGGAGGACATTGACTTCAAGTTCCCCATGCGGGAAGCGTGCCAGGACGAGATGCAGCGCCTCTGCAAGGACGAAAAGGGTAGGGTGGATGAGACAGTTAGGGGGACAAAAAGGGTGCTCTGGGAAAGGGAGTGTGTGTGTGAGAGGTGGACGGCGAGGAGGCCAGAGGTAGGACTAGATGAATTGGGAGAGCACACTGCTGGTGTGTGCCGCATGGTCGTTTGCTGTTGCTGCATAGCCACGCCTGCTCACCTCCCTCGTTTCTCCCCCTTGTCCTGGCATGTGGTGCTGGTGGTGGTGGCAGGCGGTGGTGACACAATAGCGTGCCTGCAGCAGCACGTGGGGGATGAGGACATGGGCGAGAGGTGCAAAGAGGAGGTCAAGAAGGATGAAGAGAGGAGTGCTCAAGGTCAGGCACCCATGCCATGCACATGGCACACGTGCCATGCTTGTGTATGGCATATGTACTAAGTGTGGCATGCAAGCTTTCTCCTGCCCTCCCTTCACGGCACAACCCCGTTCCAAAAGGCCCTGTCGCCTCCCATCTGCCCTCTGCCCGCCAGACTTCCGGCTGAACTACAAGCTCAACCGCGCATGCTTCAGCGACGTGCAGCATCTCTGCATGCACTCCTGCGAGCCCAAAAACGACTCCTTCGTCTCCGGCCCCACGGGCGACCTGTGCGGGGGGCGTGTGCTGCAGTGCCTGGCGGGCAACGCGTCGAGCATTGCGAGCGCGGAGTGCCGTGAGGAGGTGCTGTACTTCCAGCAGCGCGAGGTGGGCGACGTGCTGCTGGACGTGCCGCTGCAGCGCGCGTGTGAGGCGGACATCGGCGCGCTGTGTGGGCTGCAGCGCGACCACAGCAAGGTGCTGTCGTGCCTGCGCCAGCACCGGGAGCAGCTCAAGCCTGAGTGCCGCGAGGAGGAGCTGCGGTTCAGCGCCATGGAGGTGGGCCGTGCAGGGGGGTCATGCGCGGGCTGCCATGGGACGAAAGCCTGCTTGGGTGCCATGCTGAGATGCGCTGCGAAGCTGTCGAACCTCCCCCCCCCCTCTCCCACCCCTCTCGCCTCTGCATCTCCCTCTCTCTCCCTCCAGGCATCTGACATCCGCCTGACCCCCTCCCTCATGAACGCGTGTGGGCTCGAGCTGCACGTGTTCTGCCGCGGCGTGCCGCCCAGTGAGGGCAAGGCGTTCCGGTGCCTGCAGACGAACCTGGCGAGGGAGGGCATGGGCGTGGCGTGCCGCTCCGAGGTGGAGCTGGCCACGGTGCGCGAGTCGCAGTTCTACGAGGGCGACGTGGCGCTGGCGCTGCAGTGCCACACGGACATCGCCACCTCCTGCAGCGACGCGGCAAACAGCGAGGCGGACGGCGACGGGGAGGTGATCGCATGCCTGGCGCAGCACTATGACGGGCTCACTGGGAAGTGCCAGACCGAGGTGAGAGGCTGGCAGAGTTTAGGGTTTAGGGTGGATTGGGAGACAACCTGTTGTGCTGCTGAGCTTGAGCCATCCATGCCTGGGCTGCACCCATCTGACTTGCATTGCTTCCATGCAACTCTCCCCCTCTCCCTGCTCCCCTTTCAACCCCCTCCCTCCCCCCCCCCCCCTGCTTGTGTGCGTGGTAGGTGTCATTCCTAGTGCGCATGGCGCTGTGGGTGTACCAGCCTGCCAACCCCCTCACGCTGCCCTGTGCTGATGACATCACGGCCCTCTGCCCCAACGCCACCTCCTCCTCCACCTCCTCTTTGGCGGCCAAGGGCATCGTGCTGGCGGCGGTGGGGCAGTGCCTGGTGGACCAGCCCCTTGCCAAGCTGGGCAACGGCTCGTGCCGGCAGCTGGTGGCTGTGGTGGGCGTGGCGGGCGCGCATGTGGGCGGGGTGGTGGATGAGGCGCGGCTCGAATCCACGCTCGCACAGATCGCAGAGGTGAGGGCGCTGCTGCATAGGAGCTGGCACTAATGGCGTGGATTCACTGCCTGCATGCCCCTTGTCTCCCTGCCTGCATCCAACTTGTCTCGTATACTTCCCCTCCCATCTAGTCCTCTTCTCCCCGTCTTATCCCTTGTGACACGCCTCGTGCACACCCCTCGTGCACACCCCTCGTGCACACCCCTCGCACGCGTGCAGCTGGGGGCAATGGAGCAGCAGCAACGGGAGGAGGAGGGCATGGAGCTGACGGGGTGGGTGGCGCTGCTGGCAATGTTCGCTCTTGCGGTGCTGCTGATAGGTGCGGGTGTGTACGCGTACCACCGCTTCTTCAGCCCCACGCGGGACTACACGCTCGTTGTGAGGGAGGGGGACGTCAAGGAGGGGGACGTGTGAGGGGGGCTCCGGTGCCGTGGGTGCGGCTTGCTGAAGAGGTGCTGCGGCTTGAGACATGGTGCTGCTGGTTGCAGGTACCGGCTGTGGTGCGCTCTACAAGCTCCCTACGAAAGCCGGGTGTAGACATGTGGAAGCTACCATAGTACATAGGGTGTTGCCTGATTGCAACTCCTGGGGAAGTTTAAGCCGGTGCATGCTTACGGGAAGAATTTTACGTGCATTGAAACTTCCACCTGCAAAGATGGTGCTATTGCCATAATCTTGCTGTCCATATTGTTACAACACAGAATTAGCTACGGTATATGGTTGGTGGTGCCAGCAGTCAATAAAACACCTGAAGTGTTATTATCAAAACAGTAAACACAATCAAGTATCAACAGGCAGTAGACAAGCAAGATGCCACTCCCTGATAATGCTATCTCCAGTGGAAAGCTGTATAATTTCAGTCACCCGAAGCAGCGTGGCAAACAGAGCTAGAGCATTGACAAAAGCAGGCCAGGGGGACATGTCAAGGCGCTCAATAGCATGGCATGGGAGGAGTATGGGTCGGTGGCTGGGTGTGCCTGATGGACACGCGGATGGGTGGATGGCAAGGGCGGTGCGATCGTCGAGGTGAGCAGGGTGCAGCAGCACGGGGCGCCTGTGTGCTGGGCGCCACATCACTCGTCGTAGGTGCGGCACTCGTCGGTCTCGGGGTTTTCTTCGCAGTACTCGATGAGAGGGTCCTCGTAGTCCGCCGGCCCGTACACCACCGCCGTGCGCGACGGCGCATACACCTGGAACGAGTGCGGCCGGCCGTCGTGCCACCCCTCCTGCACAGCCAGTCACACGCAAGACAGATGGGTGAAAGAGGTGAGGTGGAGTGGCCCAATGATGAGCGGGAGGAGGGACGATGGCCACAGGGTGGGTGATGGGGACGAGGATGCGAGGGGAGGTGCAGGAAAGATAGGCGGCAAGAGTGGGCATGGGAGAGCAGTGGGAGCACTGACCTGTGAGAAGTAGGAGGCGTTGTGGTCGATGCGGTTGTAGCCGCCAAAGCGGCCCTCGTCTGAGTCCAGCACCACCTGGGGGCGGGCGATGGGGGCACAGGGTGGAGGAAAGCAGGCAGCGAGTGAGGCAGACAGATGAGGTGATGGGGTGATGGGTTGTGAAGCAAGGCAGCGAGGCACTTGGAAGAGGAAAGCAAGGACGGCCTCTTGCTGGTGACAGGGTGTGGATGGCTCGCACAAGCCGTGTGTGCGGCACAGACCTTGTATTTGCCGGGCCTGTTGCAGCCGATGCGGTAGTCGGTGTAGGAATTCTGCCAGTGCAGGTTGAAGACAAACACCAGGTCGCCGCGCTCAAACACAATCAGCTTGTCGCCCTCGTCCTTGCGCGACACATACTGGTGCTCCGACGAGATGAACTGCCGGGGGGGAAAGGGGGGGAAGTGAGAGGGGTTGGGAGGAAAGCAGGGTGAGCGGGAAGGAGGCACAGGCGGAGGGGACGAGATGGTGCAAAAGATGGAAGGAGCCCTTGTTACTACCTCGCACATTCCCCACCTCTCTGCTTCCCCCCACCATGCCCTCACCATGCCCTCACCCATTTTGTGATTCTGCTCACACGGCTCTACCCGCCTTGCCCTCACCCCCACCTTGTAGGTCTCCTCGAGGTGCTGCATGGCCTGGTCGAAGTCGTTGAGCCCCTTGTACCGCAGGAACGCGGCGTCCGCCAGGTCAAAGCGGCGCCGGCAGAGGTGGTAGCTGCCGCCGTTGCCCGGGATGAACTTGCCCGCCGGGGTCGTGAAGTCCCAGCGCGGGAAGTCAATCCACTCTGCACCACATGCCATGCCACGCCATGCCATGCCATGCCATGTCAGTTCGCATTGCCATGCCACGACCCCATATGCATGCACACGTGCGTTCCAGAAGACAGGAGCAGAACCAGTGAGGGACATAACACCAATACGAAAGAAACTCTTTGATCGGTTCATTGTGTTTGACATGCAGACCTGTGCATTCCCAGCTTACTCTGACTTAGTCTGACCTCCATCATTCAACAGAACTCCTTGTTGCCACCCAATCTTCATACAGAAAGCACCCCTTTCACCATCCCGCCCTACCCCACGCTTCTCACCGGGGTGGCCGAACTCGTTGCCCATGAAGTTGAGGTAGCCCTCGCCGCCCAGCGCCATGGTGAGCAGGCGGATCATCTTGTGCAGCGCGATGCCGCGGTCCACGCGGGGCGTGGAGGGGCCGTCGAGCGCCATGAAGTCGTACATGTCCTTGTCCATCAGCCAGAACGCGATCGTCTTGTCCCCCACCAGCGCCTGGTCGTGGCTCTCCGCGTACGCAATGGACTTCTCCATCCACCGCCGGTTGGTGAGCGTGTGCACAATGTCGCCCATCTGCCACTGCTCGTCCGTCTGCCTGTGGGGGGCACAGCAGCAATGAGGGACGGCAGGCGCCAAGGGACGAGGCAGAGTGAGATGCCCATGGGCGATGGTCCGCGCGGGATTATCGCATGGGTGGCGGTGCGGAGAGAAGGTGAGGGAAAGAAAGAGGCTCACTCCGACAGCAGCTCGATCCACTTGTCGGCGATGGCCATCTGCAGGCGGTAGTCGTAGCCGACGCCACCCCACGCCACGGGCTGGCAGAGCGTGGGCATGCCGCTGACGTCCTCGGCGATGGTGACGGCGTCGGGGTAGAGCCCGTGCACCATGTCGTTGGCCGTCATCATGTACGCCATCGCCTCCACGTCCGTTGCGAACCCAAAGTACTCCTCGTAGTTCCCCGTGAACGCCATCTGGGGGGAGGAAGGGGGGGGTTGGGGTGGGGGGAGGGCAGAGGAGTGGGTGCCAGACAACATGGCGAAATGACGTGCATGGGGCATGGGGCATGGGGCATGGGGCATGGGGCATGATGCATGCATGGTGCACGTTGCACATACCTGCAGGCCGTGGTGCGTGTACATCATGGATGTGACGCCATCGAAGCGGAAGCCGTCGAACTTGTACTCCTCGAGCCACCAGCGCAGGTTGGAGAGCAGGAAGCGCAGCACCTCCCAGTGCCCGTAGTTGAACAGCCGCGAGTCCCACATCCAGTGGTACCCGCGCTCGCCCGAGTGAAAGTACTGCCCGTCCGTGCCGTCAAACATGTTCAGCCCGTCCAGCACGTTGTTCGACGCGTGGCTGCCGGGACACGGGGGAGGGGTGGCGGTGGGTGGCGGAAGAGGGGAGGGGGAGAGGTGAGAGGGAGGGGAGGAAGGGGGATTGGGGGGCAGAAATGGCGGGAGAGTGCAGCATTGGTACGGCATGGCAGGGCGCAGTGGCCGGCTGAGGCATGGTGGAGCGCGTGCGAGCACGCATTCCTGTTCTCGCAAACCACCATGCCGCGTCCCGCCACGCCATCGTCAGCTTACCTACCCATGCACAGAGTGCGTGCCCCCATGCCCCCCATGCCCCTCATGCCCCCCATGCGCCCCATGCCCCCCCCATGGCACCTGTGCACGCAGTCCATGAGCACCACGATGCCCATGCCGTGCGCCGCGTCGATGAGGCTCTTGAGGTCGTCGGGCGTGCCGCAGCGGCTGCTCACGGCGAAGAAGTTGGTCACGTGGTACCTGGCGGAACGCGGGGGCGGGGGGTCAGGCGAGCAGGCGAGAACGGGAGAGCGCAGGTGAGGGACGCCGGGAGGGAAAGCGGGGGCACGAAGCGGGAATGGCAGGTGCTGGAGGCAACGGCCCGAGAGGCAGTGGTGGCAGGGGGAGGAGTCATGACTGGAAGGAAGACAATGCAACAAGGCACCAAGGCGCGCAACACGCGGGTAACGCGTGCAAAACAGAACGATTAGGGCCGTGGAGGAGTGCAAGGGAGGCCGAGCAAAGGGAGGGGCGCACAGGTGCGTGAGGGACGGGGAGGGCGTACCCGAAGGAGCCGTAGTAGGCGTGCTCCTGGATGGCCATGAGCTGGATGGCGTTGTACCCCAGGTCGCGCACGCGCGGCAGCACGTTGTCGCGGAACTCCGCGTACGTGCTCACTCGCGGCTCCTGTTAGCGGGTGGCGCAATAACGCGGATGAGGACGATGTGGAAAGTGGCGAGACGGAGAGCAGCCATGAGAACCGACGAGACGAAGCTAGGCAAGACAGCTGGCGCGCAGTGGGGGAGAGGCGGAGAGGGGGGAAGAGGCAAGGGCAGCTGGGGAAGAGAAAGCGGGACAGGAGGCGCGGAGGAGGGGCGGCGGGGGGTGGGGCGGGGGCGTACAGTGCTGCTCATGCCGACGTGCGCCTCGTAGATGCGCAGAGCTCGGGGCCGCTTGGGGCGCGCGTTCTTCCACACATGGCGCTCCTGCAGGCGCGCGCACGGGGTGGGGAGGCAGATGAGCGGCGGAGAAGCACGTGGGAAAGAGCCCCATTCCAGCCGTGAGCATCATTGCAGCCGTGAGCATCATTCCAGACGAGGGCAACGGACCAGACGAGGGCAACGGAGGTAAATGCAGGCGAAAAAGAAAGGCAGTCGCAGAGAGGAGCGGACCTCCGGCGGCGGGTCGTAGTAGATGCCGTTGTAGGGGATCTCGCCTGGCGCCTGCACGGCGAACTTAATCCACGCGGGAATGGCGTCCTTCCACCCCGACGGCGTGTCCATGTGGATCTGCATGCCACGTCATCAGAACAATAACCACGTGTTATGACAAGAGAACGACAACATCCACGGGAAACCTAGTACCGACATGCAATAGTGAGCGAAGTAATAAGGCTACTTCCACCTGCCCACCGCATCTGCAATGTCATGCCGAACGGAAACAAAATTCCCTACACAAAGGCTCCAATCCTAAATCTTCGTTGTTTCCCCCATCTGCCAAGCATTTGTGACTTCATGTCCACATTCCGCTGTCAAATCGTTCACGCGTGTCGCGCTGCAAGCCGCATGTGATCCACTCGCAGCCTCTCATACAGTCACATGCATCTGCCACAATGCCTGGCGTTCCTCGCTGAGGCACGGACTGACCTTGACGCGCGAGCCGTGGGGAATGGCGGGGGTGCCATCGGGATTGTCGGGCAGGAAGAGCTCCCACACGCCGAACTCGTCCTGCGGCACACGCGCACGCACGCACAGACAGGCAAGCAACACGGACAGTCAGAATCCGTGACTGATTTCTGTGAAGAGCGCGAGGAATAATGGCGTGAGCAGAGGGAGCGCGGCGGGCGAACCTTCTTCATGATGTCGGCGTTGGGGTTCCAGTTGTTGAAGTCGCCGATCAGCGACGCCGACTGCACCCACCTCACACGCACACACACACGGCGGTCAGCGAAAATCCAGACACTAAATGCCGGCAAACAAGAAGCGGGAAGCTCGCATTTCACTTACATAAGCGCCAGGAGCCCACTCGCGGTACACGATGCCGTTGTGCCTGCACAGAGTCAACGAGAAACGCTCCCAATGTCGCTTTAGACGTGAAACATTGGCAAGGCGAAGACCGGAAGCAGTCGGGTGAGGAAGGGAGACGGCAAGGAGACGCGCGAGGGCGGGCGGCTTACACGCGGTTGAAGCCGAACTTCTCGTAGCCGCGCGAGAACTTCTCGAGCCCGCCCTCGTGCTGGTCGATCTCCCACCGCAGCTTCTTGTACTGCCCGAAGCTGCACGCGCCCAACACGGCGAATCAAAGACAAGCTCACGCAACGAGTCAGACTGACACTGCTCAATATTAACAACTGAAATCTACTCAATATGAAATTGGATTAAAGACGCTGTGATTCAGGACCGTGGCTTACCGCTGCTGATTAACTTGTTTGCGCCGCGTATCGGGTACTAGTCGAGGCAACGGGGGTGTTTCCGGGTACTAATCGACGTAAATGCGGTGCATACCGGTATTAGTCGGAGCAATGACTGTGCTTATCGGCATTAATCGGGCTGGATGTGGCTGTGAAACGTGTAAAACGCGGGGGATGCGGTGCTTCTTATCGGTAAGGATCGAAGTACCTGCGGTACTTACCGGTACTCGAGGTGGATGCGGTGCGCGTTGAGGTACTCGTCGGTGTCGAAGATCCTCTTGCCCTCGCCCGGTGGCGGCACCACCTTGGGCCCCTCCTGCGTGAAGATCATCTGCTCGCGCAGCTTCGCGTTCTCCTCGCGCAGAGCCTGCGCCGCCCAAACAGGTAAGACCCAGAATGGTCAGCAAGCCCGCACAATCTAACACCAAGATCCTGGCGTTCGGAATTTGACATGAAGCACTGGTGTCGGAAAGTGCCAGTTTGACGATTAAGGACCAATATGCGGACCTTAATTTGCGCCTCGATGACTTCCGCCTCCGCTTCCAAGTCCCCCACTGCCAGCTCCGCGCCCCCGTCATTCGCTGCCTCAGCGGCCACGCGGAGCCGGCGGCTGCTGTCGTCCGTCCACGTCAGCTTCGCCTGACGATGTCGCAAGGCCCTCTGCCTGAGCTGCAATCGCGCGGGAATCTGACAGATTCTGGCATTGCCTGCCAGGGGAAACGAGAGATTTGCGTGAGATTTAGAAATTCGAAAAGACGGCTTTTGGAAATTTGCAACGCCTGCTTGCGTGAAAAAAATGCATGCCTTCCCGAAGGAAACGCACCTCCAAGGAAAGGGCTACGGGTTATTTTATGGCTTGATGTAAGCCGACACGCCGGCGGCGTGGAGACGGTGGCAGTCGCCATAGCTGCACGGAGCTAACGTGCCGCTAGGAATTCAGAATGGATCTCACTCGCTGCTTGCTACCTAGAGTACATTCCCCACCCCAACCAACCTTCCTCCAAGCCCAGCCGACTGGGAGTGTAGCGGATGCGGAGGTGAGGGAGGAAGTGGGGGGGGGGGAGGGGGGCTATTGACTATGCGCTGAGTGTAGTTTGAGCCCGAACCACACTGCACCACTCAATTTAAAAAACAAAAATACGCCACACCATTTTCAACCTCTCTGAAAGTTAGATCCTAGCTCATTGTTCGAACCCCATGATTGAAAGTGCTGCGCTTTAGATTCACACGAAGGGTTCCCTTCCCGGCCTCCCGCACACCTCAACCATGTGGCTCCAACGACCCCAAGACCACCTTATGCTTGCCACGTCCGCATTAGGCTAAGCATAAAGCGACCTCCCGTTTCAATCTTGAAGGGGTTCAGTGACGTGGCATGGAGCCAGAAGTGCCGTGCCGTGCCAGCCGTGCTGTGACCAGCTTCAGTTCAGGGGTTACGTTGTTGAAACTTGAAACGCGCCCATTCCGGCAAAGATCCATCCTCTGAGGGTGGAACAAGCACCACTCGTCCGCACCGCAGATCCCTCACCCTGTTTCCTCTGCTCCAGCTGCCCGCGATGGAGAATGGGTCATTCTCCGTGCGAAGGTCTGTGGTTCAGGTTCAATACAGTCCAAGACAAGACCCTCTCGACCAATGCAGCAGTGACATCAGGGCAGGCGCGACTTCAACTCGTTAGAGATCACTTCGATAAAAAATATTTTTCAGACATACATGACGAGTGACATACCTACTATGTTCTGCGTTTTAAAAGAGCAATATCTTAGATAGCAGGTCTTGATTGTGCTGTGGGCCTTTGATAAGCAACCTGCTGCAGTTACGCACTGTGCTTCGGGCTGGCAAGCCTAACCAATCACCATAAGGACCGAACAACCTTCACCTACCCAGCATGTGACTGTTCATTTCGCCGTTTCACGTAACCTCCACCCCCTTGTGTTACGGGCGGCGCCGCTCCCTGCGGTTTGGCCGCATCTCCGTGCGCAGAGCAGAGCCAAATCGACGGACGGATCAAGCCGATTGTCCACCCCCACCCACCTCTCAGGCAGGCAGGCAGGCAATTGATCACATAGAAACTGCCGAGGAACACTTCACCCAACCCAGCATTACAATCAAGCTGCTTGCTTTCGCGTCGACTGCCTTCACTTACTCCATTTTAGGGTTTCCTTGCCAAGTCCTTAGCCCAGCTGAAGTCCTTAGTTATATTAGGAATGCTTGTCAAAGGCCGTTGACCGTGCCCAACTGGGAGTTGCGTCTCAGTTGCTTTGTCTTAGCACGAGCTGACTTTTAGTCGTAGCTCAGATACCTTGACATATTCATAATTGCGGATAACTGTAACCCCCATGGCTATTTCACCATTGGAAATGATTGTACAAAGCCGCCTATTTATAATAAGTGGGTAGAGTAGGGGTTCTTCTCTAAGAGTTGATACGTTGGGGAGCTATGGACCGGTCGGCGTTGGATCGTCCCATGATCGATCGTCGAATGATGCTGCTCAGCCGCAGCCGCCGCGAGCAGGAAGGCGATTCCGATTCCGAAGAAGCATATTCGATAGGCAGAGATGACGTGGATCGCTCCGATTCGCTCAGCCGGGCCTTCGCGCAGGTGATACACCAGAAGGCGGCTGGCGTGTCACTTGCCGACATGTTTCATCTGCTTCGTGACCCTCTCTTTCCGGATGTAGAAACGTGTGGCTGGATGAAGTTTCGAATCATTCACGGCGTTCTGCGCCTCGCATCCCAACGAGAAAACTCCTTAATTGTGTTTGTTTCTGCGTGTGTCCGTGTGTGCCGTTCATGCTTTGACGGCCCTTGCGGTGCTGCCAGCAAACGAGCGTACGCGACTACCGGGGGGGAGGGGGGGACTCGCGGCAAGTGCGGCAAGAGGAGGAGGAGGAGGAGGACGAGGAGGAGTACACGGTGGAGGTGTGGGACGCGCTGGACTCGCTGGAACAGGTAACCGGGTGGGTCAACGGAGAAGCGTAGGGACTCGAATGTGGGAGTGGAGGTGCGTTGTGTGCTTCGCTGCAGCGGCGCCATCACCTCATGCCGCTGCCCTCAGTGCGTCACCTCGTGCTCCCGCCCTTCACTCTCCCCCTCCTTTCCCGTCTCACCAGCACTTTCCATCCCCTTCTCCACCCTCCCCAACCCCTCCCTTCCTTTCCTACCCTCGTCTCTCCCCCCTCCCCAACCCCTCCCTTTCCTACCCTCGTCTCCCCCCCCCCCCTCTCCCCCCTCCCGCGCGCACCAGTTAAAGCCCATCATCGCGTCGGGCCCGCGGTGGAAGCTGGAGGAGTTTCTAAGAGCCATCGACATCCTCCAGGTACGCGCGCATGCCGCCACGCACATGCTACAAACATGCTTGCACGCGCGCAGGTACGCTCACATGCATATATGCTACATGCATGCTCGATGCAAGCGTTTGTGCGGGTTGACGCCACGAGCCGTTCTATCCACCCACCCACCGCTCCCTGCTACCCTCCCCTCCCCCCGCCCCCCCTCTTCTCCCCGCGTTGACGGCGCGCAGGAGATGGCGGAGTTCTTTGAGCGCAACGAGTGCGCGTCGGGCGTGCGCGAGTGCGACAAGTTCATGGCCGTCGCCATGGACCACCTCCTCGACGAGTTCCGCGACGCGCTCGCCAAGATCAGGTCCGCGCACGCACGCACGCACGCACGCTCGCATGCCGCACCTGGGCGAACGGGATTGTGATGCGAGGATAAGGTTGCCATGGTTTATCAGGATCGTCATGGACCGCATGAAGGGCGGCCATGCATGAACGACTCTGCACATCGTGAGGGCGCAGCACGTAAAGGAAACCAACACATTGTCTGGCAACGTGGGTTTAGGATGCGCCCACTTTTTAGCAAGTGCGGAATGCAACCATGCTCCTCAACTATGCTTGGACCCTCCGTACAATGCCCACCTCACCTCCCCCCTCACACCCACCCTCCTCACCTCTTCCCTCCCACCGACCCTGAAACTCCCCTCCCCCCTCCTACCACGTCCTCCTCCCCTCCCCCCCAACCCCCCCCCTTTGCCTGTGCGTGCGGTGGCAGCAAGCCGCTGCCGGCGGCGATGCTGCGCGAGGTGGCCATGTCCACGCAGGCCGGCCGCCTCGTCGACCAGCACCAGGGCGGCGCCGCTGCCGCCGCCGCCGCCGTGCTGGCGGGCGCCGCTGGCGGCGGCGTGCCGCGCACGTCCACGGGGTCGTCGTCCGCGTCGTCGCACCTGCCGTCGTCGCGCTCGCGCACCGGCAACCCCGCGTCCTCGTCGCCCGACTCCTCGGGCTCCTCCTCCCCCACGGCGGGCGGGTCCGCCGCGCCGCACGCGGTGTCGGCGGCGACGCACCAGGCGCTGCAGGACTGGCTGTCGGCGAGCGCCGTGCCGTTCCTCCACCGCATGGCCGTCAAGCTCGCGCAGGGGGGCGAGTCGCAGCGCTGCATGCAGCAATACGTGTGAGTGGCGTGGCACGTGCAGCAATACGTGTGAGTGGCGTGGCGCGTGTAGCAATACGTGCGAGTGCCGCGTGCACTGACGAACATAATTCCTGTTGCAAGACTCGTGTTCCTATCAGCCCCCCTCCTTTCCTCTTCCCCCCTGCTCCTAACACTCCCCTCTTCCACCACATCTCCCCCTCTCCTCCCTGCCCTTCCCCCCCAGCAAGGTGCGCGCGGAGGCCATTCAGCGGAGTGTGGACGCGCTGGATATCAAGAGAGTGCTGACGTCGTCACTGGAAGAGATGACGTGGCAGCAGCTAGAGGCGCTCATGAAGGGATGGGTCACGGACATGCGAGCCATGGTGAGTGTGTGAGAGGGGGGAGGGGAGGAGGATGATATGTGAGTCTTGGTGCACTGCCATGTGCCATGTGCCATGTGCGCTGCATGGTATCGGAGCTGTGACCTACGTCTCACTCTCCCCCTCTCCGCACTGCCGTGCCCACCACGTGTCCCCTGCGGCGTGCAGGTGCTGGTGCTGCTGGGCAGTGAGCGCGTGCTGTGTGACGAGATCTTCGACTCACTGGAGCCCGACAGAGAGCTCTGCTACCTCTCGCTCATTCAGGTAAATGCTGCCGCCTCTGCCATCTCTTCTCACCATTTACAAACTTCCCTACCTACCCTTACCAACCCCCTCCCACGTTCGCTCCCTGCCACCTTCTTCCCTCCCGGCCCACCTACTCTTCCTGCTCCCCCCCGGCAGGCGAGCGGGCTAGCAGCAACGGTGGAGGCGGTGGTGAGCAACGGGCGTGTGGTGGCGTCGGGGCGCAACACGCCGGAGCGCCTCTTTGCGCTGCTCGATATGTTCACCACGGGGCGGGAGCTCCGGGCGCAGGTGGGATGAGGGAAGGGTGCAGGTGGGATGAGAGAAGGGCGCAGGTGGGATGAGGGAAGGGTGCAGGTGGGATGAGAGAAGGGCGCAGGTGGGATGAGAGAAGGGCGCAGGTGAGAGGGAAGGGCGCAGGTGAGAGGGAAGGGCGCAGGTGGGATGAGAGAAGGGCGCAGGTGAGAGGGAAGGGCGCAGGTGAGAGGGAAGGGCGCAGGTGGGATGAGAGAAGGGCGCAGGTGAGAGGGAAGGGCGCAGGTGGGATGAGAGAAGGGCGCAGGTGGGATGAGAGAAGGGTGCAGGTGGAATGAGAGGAGCGCGCAGGTGGGATGAGTGCTGAGGCAGCTGGTGCATGCCTGTTCCCCCCGTGTCGCACGTCACTGCCCCCGAAGCCTCAAGCCTTCCAAGCCTCTCCCTCTCGTCCCTGCACTCCTGCTCCCCGCCCATCTCCCCCCCTGTGTGTGGGCTTAGATCGAGGCGGTGGTGTCGGTGCCGGGGTTTGGCAGCGTGCTGCGTGAGATGGAGCGGCTGCCGCGCGACCTGGCGGGCGCCGTGATGGACACCATTGGCGAGTTCAAACGCGTGCTGGAGGAGCCGCCTGCACACCACCAGGCGCAGAGCCAGGACAAAAAGAAAGGGTGAGGGGGAGGGATGGCCAGGCATGCGCTATGTGTTTGTGACAGCATGCGTGTTGCCAGGATGTGTTGTGGCAGCGCGCGACATCACCTCATGCACCTGTCCTGTCGGTGCATGTCATTGCCATTTGTCTCATCCCATACCTCAAATCCAAAATCCTGCTGCTCCCCCCTCCTTCTCCTCCCCCCTTCCCCTCCCCCCCCCTTCCACTGGCAGGATGCTGAAGCCGTTTCTGCGCAGTGCGAGTGCGAGCGGCGCGGGCGAGGGGGGGCCGGTGGAGGAGATGGAGGTGGCTACGGCGGCCACGCACCCTCTCACGTCCTACGTCGTCAACTACATGAACAACCTGCTCGATAAGTACGCTGGGGGCGAGGGTTGTTTAGATCGCACTGTGCTGTGAGTTGGGCGTGAAACCAATGACGCTTGGGGAGGATCTAGTGATCAGCCCATGCTTATGCAAGGATACATGCACTCAAATTGGTTGTTGTGGCGTTGCTGCATGCTTCCTTGCCCCGGTGCAGGCAGAGCAAGCGCAACTACCCGGTGACGCTGGAGTATCTGCTGCTGGAGTACGGCCGCAGCATCACGGCCACCGGCACCGACGCCACGGCAGCGGCGCTCATCACACGCAGCGGCCCGCAGTACAAGACGCCCTTCAGTGGGGCCGCCGTGGAGCGCCGGTCGGGCGCCGTGGGGCCGGCAGCGCTGGGGCAGCGCGCGGCCACACTGGCAGGCGTGGTGTCGTCGGTGCTGGAGTCGCTGCTGCGCTGCCTGGAGGCGCGGTCCCGGGCCGCCTCTGACCCCACGCAGGGCGCACTCTTCCTCCTCAACAACGCCCTCTACATCTCCAAGAACCTGTGAGCCTCGCACATAAAAAAACCCATGAGCCACGCACATGCAAAAATCTGTGAGCGCCTCGCCCTGCACTGCTGTCAGCGCTCGAACCGTGCCTTGCAGCGTACCACCCTAGCAGGGGCATCTCGTGCTTGTCCTAATGGGCCTGCATTCATTCTTCCACGTGCTGCTGTCTGCATGCTCGTCAACGCCCACTCATCTACCCGTGTGTCCGTGCGTGCATGTGGTGGCGGTGGCAGGTCGGACGGCAAGCTGTCAGCGGTGGCGGACCTACCGGATTGGAAGGACGGGCAGATGCTGGACAAATACATGATCCACTTCCGCGACGCCGTGCTCGCTAGGGTACCGCCACGCCACTCATGCCTGACCTGCCGTGCCATGCCATGCCATGCCATGCTATGCCATGCCATGCCATGCCGTGCCATGCCATGCCATGCCATGCCATGCCATGCCATGCCACATTCCATGAGATGACAAGGGACGCCTTGAAATGACTGGAAGGCCATGGCTTGCATGCATGTCATATGGAGTGTCCTTGACGCCTGTTTTCATCAATCTCTTGCCGACTTGCATGACTGAGCTCGTTTGGTTGCGTAAGTCCCATCGTTCCTTGGTGAACGGCGTGGCATCTCACTCTAACCCGGGCCAGTCCTTTCCTCTGCCGCTCTCATCCCCCGCTGCCCCCTGCTCCTCCTCCCCCAATGCGCCGCTGTGTGGTGCTGCCAGATCTCGCACTCGCTGGAGGAGACGGCGGTCAGCGGGGGGCTGCTCAAGACAGTGAATGAGCACACGGAGGTGAAGGGCAAGTGAGTGCATGGCACACGGAGGTGAAGGGCAAGTGAGTGCATGGCACACGGAGGTGAAGGGCAAGTGAGTGCATGGCACACGGAGGTGAAGGGCTAGTGAGTGCATGGCACACGGAGGTGAAGGGCAAGTGAGTGCATGGCACACGGAGGTGAAGGGCTAGTGAGTGCATGGCACACGGAGGTGCAGGGCAAGTGAGTGCATGGCACACGGAGGTGCAGGGCAAGTGAGTGCATGGCACACGGAGGTGAAGGGCTAGTGAGTGCATGGCACACGGAGGTGCAGGGCAAGTGAGTGCATGGCACACGGAGGTGCAAGGCAAGTGAGTGCATGGCACACGGAGGTGAAGGGCTAGTGAGTGCATGGCACACGGAGGTGCAGGGCAAGTGAGTGCATGGCACACGGAGGTGCAGGGCAAGTGAGTGCATGGCACACGGAGGTGCAGGGCAAGTGAGTGCATGGCACACGGAGGTGCAGGGCAAGTGAGTGCATGGCACACGGAGGTGCAGGGCAAGTGAGTGCATGGCACACGGAGGTGCAGGGCAAGTGAGTGCATGGCACACGGAGGTGCAGGGCAAGTGAGTGCATGGCACACGGAGGTGCAGGGCAAGTGAGTGCATGGCACACGGAGGTGCAGGGCAAGTGAGTGCATGGCACACGGAGGTGCAGGGCAAGTGAGTGCATGGCACACGGAGGTGCAGGGCAAGTGAGTGCATGGCACACGGAGGTGAAGGGCAAGTGAGTGCATGGCACACGGAGGTGAAGGGCAAGTGAGTGCATGGCACACGGAGGTGAAGGGCAAGTGAGTGCATGGCACACGGAGGTGAAGGGCTAGTGAGTGCATGGCACACGGAGGTGAAGGGCAAGTGAGTGCATGGCACACGGAGGTGAAGGGCTAGTGAGTGCATGGCACACGGAGGTGCAGGGCAAGTGAGTGCATGGCACACGGAGGTGCAGGGCAAGTGAGTGCATGGCACACGGAGGTGAAGGGCTAGTGAGTGCATGGCACACGGAGGTGCAGGGCAAGTGAGTGCATGGCACACGGAGGTGCAAGGCAAGTGAGTGCATGGCACACGGAGGTGAAGGGCTAGTGAGTGCATGGCACACGGAGGTGCAGGGCAAGTGAGTGCATGGCACACGGAGGTGCAGGGCAAGTGAGTGCATGGCACACGGAGGTGCAGGGCAAGTGAGTGCATGGCACACGGAGGTGCAGGGCAAGTGAGTGCATGGCACACGGAGGTGCAGGGCAAGTGAGTGCATGGCACACGGAGGTGCAGGGCAAGTGAGTGCATGGCACACGGAGGTGCAGGGCAAGTGAGTGCATGGCACACGGAGGTGCAGGGCAAGTGAGTGCATGGCACACGGAGGTGCAGGGCAAGTGAGTGCATGGCACACGGAGGTGAAGGGCAAGTGAGTGCATGGCACACGGAGGTGAAGGGCAAGTGAGTGCATGGCACACGGAGGTGAAGGGCTAGTGAGTGCATGGCACACGGAGGTGAAGGGCAAGTGAGTGCATGGCACACGGAGGTGAAGGGCTAGTGAGTGCATGGCACACGGAGGTGCAGGGCAAGTGAGTGCATGGCACACGGAGGTGCAGGGCAAGTGAGTGCATGGCACACGGAGGTGAAGGGCTAGTGAGTGCATGGCACACGGAGGTGCAGGGCAAGTGAGTGCATGGCACACGGAGGTGCAAGGCAAGTGAGTGCATGGCACACGGAGGTGAAGGGCTAGTGAGTGCATGGCACACGGAGGTGCAGGGCAAGTGAGTGCATGGCACACGGAGGTGCAGGGCAAGTGAGTGCATGGCACACGGAGGTGCAGGGCAAGTGAGTGCATGGCACACGGAGGTGCAGGGCAAGTGAGTGCATGGCACACGGAGGTGCAGGGCAAGTGAGTGCATGGCACACGGAGGTGCAGGGCAAGTGAGTGCATGGCACACGGAGGTGCAGGGCAAGTGAGTGCATGGCACACGGAGGTGCAGGGCAAGTGAGTGCATGGCACACGGAGGTGCAGGGCAAGTGAGTGCATGGCACACGGAGGTGCAGGGCTAGTGAGTGCATTGGGTGGTTGAAGGGTAATGAGAGGGAGGTACGCCTTTTTGGGGAGGCGGGTGCCTTTCTGGGGAGGCACTTGTGGTGCTCTCTTCATCGCCCTGTGCGGCCCCCTGTGTGCCACCTGTGTGTGTGTGCGTGCACTTGCGTGCGGCAGACTGAAGAAGTTCAACGCAGCGTTTGAGGAGCTGGCCATAAAGCAGGCGGGGTGGAACATCCCCGACGAGGACCGCCGCAAGAAGACCCGCAGCAGCGTCGCCAGGCGCCTTCGAGAGATCTACTCCGCCTTCCTCCTGCCCTACAGGTGCGCCCTCCCTCCTGCCCTACAGGTGGGTGCTCTCATACATCCCTGCTCTCATTCACCTCAGCTATCATGCGTGTGTGTTCCTGTTTCTCTCTGCATATGTGTGCGTGTGTGCATGTGTGCGTGTGTGCGTGTGTGCATGTGTGCGTGTGTGCATGTGTGCATGTGTGCATGTGTGCGTGTGTGCATGTGTGCGTGTGTGCGTGTGTGCATGTGTGCGTGTGTGCATGTGTGCATGTGTGCATGTGTGCATGTGTGCGTGCGTGGGTGCAGGGAGGAGCTGTGTGAGTTCAAGACGTACCGCTACTCGCCGGACGCCATAGAGCGCGTGGTGCTCGACTACTTCTTTCTCGCCACGCCCTCCAGAGGGCTCCCCATCTCCTTCGGATAGGCACACCTCCCCATCTCCTTCGGATAGCCACACCTTCCCATGTCCTTCGGATTGCCACACCTCCCCATCTCCTTCGCATAGCCACTCCAGCTTGCCCTGTGTCTCGCCCAGGCACTCCCCTAGGTGCGGCGTCTCTCGGCATCTCCCCCATCGCATGCCCAGTGCACCATGGCATGCCCAGTGCACCATGGCATGCTTCCCTCCCAACCTGCACGGGGCAATAAAGCTTCCTGGAAGCTGCCAGTCCTCCCACCTCCCACCAATGGCATTCAGACACGTTCCAGCAGCACCAGCAGCACCAGCAGCGCCAGCAGCACCAGCAGCACCAGCAGCACCAGCAGCACCAGCAGCACCAGCAGCAGCAGCGATACAAGCGGCACCAGCGTAGCAGTAGCAGTAGCAGTAGCAGCAGCAAGCAGCGGCAGTCAGGCCAAAGCAGTATGCAGCAGTAGCAGCAGCAATGAAAGCGTGCCATGTTGGCTGCTGCATGGTAATCAGCTAGTGCAACAGCAACCTCGATGTGCGACCCGGTAGCCAGTAGTGGCTCCATGTCAGCCAGCCAGCCAGCTAGCTTTAGCATCGTTTTGCTGCCAACTAGGGAGAGGTGCAGCCGTCAGCAGCACACTGCATGATGGCAGAGTTGCAGCCTGTCGGCCTGTGCCCACACCCCACAAGATACTGGCTAGTCTGTAGTTTGAATTGCTGTCCACTGTACCATAAGGAACTCCGTTGCATGCTGGAGTAAAGAGATCTCTCATTAGTGAAAGTCACAGCTTCAACTCACTAATGGGTGGCATTCCAAAAGAATTTCAGGCCAATCCTCGGCACAGCGCAACAATGCAATCACATCACCACCAACACCACACGAGTGCGATCGCATACACCACGCTCTGATACCCATTGTATGCATGCTATGATGCTATCTCTCCCTCTTTGCCCTGCCCTTGCCCCTTCGGTGGCTCTTCTCCCCCCCTCCACCTCTCTTTTCTCCCAGCCTCTCCCTCCTCTCTCCCCTGCCATCCCTCCTCCCGCCCCCCACCAGCTCTGCTGCCTTCTCTGACAGCCGCCGCCGCCGCCTGCCCCGCCCCGACGGCAACCGCCCGTCTGCACGCACCGCAGCAGAGCGGGGTGGGGGGTGAGGGGGCAGGGGGGCAGGGGGGGAGGGGGAAGAGGGAAGAGAGCATGCGGGAGTGAATGAATGGAGGGTGCTGGTTGGTGTGATACAGTGAGTGCTGGTAGGGATTACATTCATTCACAACGCCGGATACACATCCCCAGGAGCCTCACCTGAGTCGCTGTCTGCACCCGCCCCTCCACTGTCCTGCCCCTCCCCTTCCTCCCCCTCCAACTCACTCTCCCCCCCACTCTCTGCGCCCCTCTTCCGCCCCCTGCCCGCCCCCTGCTGCCCCTCGTCTGCCGGCACGGCAGCTCCATTGGCAGCAGGCGGGGTGGCAGCAGCAGCGGGCGTGGGGGCGGGGAGGGGGTGCGTGGGGAGGAAGAGTAGGGCGTCGGTGGAGTCGTCGGAGTCGCTGTAGGCCGCCACGCGCTCCGCCGTCTCGATGTCCACCTCGCCCTCCTCCACCGCGCAGGCCTGCTCCTCCCTGCCGTGCGCCCCCGGCTGGCTGAGCCGCGGGTCGGGCCAGGCGTCGAACTCGTCCTCGCGCTCCGCGTACTCCTCGTTCTCCTCCAGCTCGCGGAAGTCGGGCGCGAAGGCGCTCCAGCTCTCGCGGTAGTCCTGCGCCCACAGGTAGATGGTGCCGGCGCCCGACAGCGATGCGATCACCTTGCGCGTGGGGTGCCACACGAGGTCCGCCAGCGCCTCCTTGGGGCCCTCGAGGATGCGCACGAGCTGCCCGAACGCGCGGTTCCAGATGTGGATCTTGTGCTCGCCGCGCGCCGCCACGCCGCCCACCACGAACTCGCCGTCGCCGCTGAAGCAGGCGCTGCGCCACTGCACCCGGTTGACCGCGTCCTGGTACTCCTTGAGGAACGCCAGCGACACCAGCACCTGCCGCTTGCCCTGTGGGACCATGTCCCCCGCGGTCGGCCATGCACTGCCCTGCTCCGCGCCCCCTACTCGCCCGCCCTCGCCCTCACTGCTGTCTGACTCCCCAACCTCGCTCTTGTCTCTCCCCCCGTTCTGCTGCGCCCCCTTCTTACTCCCAGCAACCCCACTGGCGCCACTCCCCCCTGCCCTGCTGTTGTCGCCGTGCAGGGCGGTGGTGAGGGTGAAGACGCGGATGACGCGGTCGGTGGAGTTGGTGAGCAGGAAGCGCCCGTTGCGGCTCAGAGCCAGCTGCCGGATGCACGCCGCCGCCCATGCCGTGCTGCCGCTGCTGCTGCCAGCGGAGGAGGGGACGCCAGGGATGGTGGCAATGAGGGTGGCGTCGGGCACGGACGCCACGAGGATGTGGCCTGAGGGCGCGCCCGCCAGCACCAGGCTGCCGCTCTTGTCAAACAGCGCCGGCCACGGCAGACTCCCTGCCCCCGCCTCACCCCACCCGCCCCTTCCCCCCTTCCCTCCTCCGCCCGCGGAGCTATCTGCCTTGGGGGAGGCGGGGAGGGGTCGGAGGGCGCCGGAAGGGAGGTGGAGGAGGGCGGGGGGTGCGCCCATGGGGCAGATGAGCGCGAGGGAGGGGGAGGGGGAGGGGTGCAGGCGCACGTGGAGCGCGGGCTTGGGGAGCGCCACGGACGCCACGGGGGAGCCCGCCGCCACGTCCCACAGCACCACGCGGTGGGGGGACGGCGGGGCATGCGATTGCACGGGGGAGTGGGCGTGGGCGTGAGAGGAGGGCCCCGCGGCGGTGTAGGCGGCGAGCAGCAGGCGGCCGCATTTGGACCACGCGACGCTCGTCACGAGCGACGGCGGCGCGGGGGGGGCAGCGATGGGGGCGGCGGCAGGGGGATCGGCGGAGGGCGTGGCGGATGGCGAGTGCACAGTAGCGGGTGAGGGGGTGTCACGGGGGGGCGCGGGGTGGAGCGGGGGGAGCGGCAGCTCCTTGGCCACTCCGCGCGTGTCGAAGTCCCAGATGACGCACACGCCGTCCGCGCACCCCGCTGACAGGGGGAAAGGAGGGGCGCGGGGAACGGGGAAGAAAAAAGGGAAACGGGGAAGGGAAAGGGGGGCGGGGCAAGGGGCGCTCAAGATGGAAGAACTTGCGGCGAGGGAGGGCGGGGAGGAGCGAGCGGGCAGTGAGCTGAAGAAAGAAGGGGCCGGCATGCCGTCGCGTCACGCACGCAGGTCCACGGCCTACCTGCGAGCAGCGTGCCGCGGCGGTTGAAGGCGATGCACTTGGCGGCGCGGTGGTCCAAATACTCCTCGATCACCTCGGGAAAGTCGTTCTGAAACGGATCTGCCTCGACGCGCGCGCGCCGCCGGTAGTGCGTTGCGACATGCGAGGGGACGAAAAAGACGGGAGCAAAGGGGCTGAGGCTGAGGCGGGGTGGACGGCGCAAGGAAGAGGTAAGGGCGAGAATGGGGGAAGGGAGAGTGGAGGGGAGAGCGGGGCTGACCTAGCAGGCTGAGATTCATCGCGACGCTCGACTGATGGCGGCAAACTCCAACATGCGACGAATGCGACGACGCGTAAAAAGGATAAAGATAATGGCACTAAATAATAGTTGTGAGCCGATTGGGGAAGAATAGTTGCGAGTGAGGTGCGAAATTGAGGGTCAAAATATGTAAAGCCAAAATTGGATACTTCAGGAATTTCAAAAGTTATCGCCCAGCCTTTCGAAACAACATCGAGGTTGGAAATAGCGGAGACATTTCGACCAATCGCATTCGTTCCCTCGTCCCTTGAGCTTGGTTCAGGCGCCCCACGTCCAGTTCCCCTGCGACAATTGCAGTCGCCCACCGCGACTGGCTGAGAGAGCCATCCAGCCTTCGCACGTCGCATTCCTTTCGTCCACTTTTCGCTTCCCCCTGCGACGCACATTCCGTCGCCACCGGCCTCACCCCGCCTCTCTTGGGCTCGCCTCAAACCCTCGCTGCACCCCGCCAGACGCCTACGAGTCCAACGCTCACCGCCACCCCACCTGCTCTTCCTCCTGCTCTAGTTGCTGCTTCTCCTGCTGCTGTTTCGCGTGCTGTGCCTCCTACCTTGACCTGACAGGCTTTCACTTATCTCGCTAGATACCGGTCTTTAGGGTTTGATCGATACATCATATTGGCGCGTGGCATGCGTTGTGTGTGAGGGCGGCGGTGGATGTGAGGTGCGGACCGGCATGGGCTGTTTCCTATCGGTCGAGGTCGAGGCCCCAAGTGCGCCGTCGTCCAAGCCCGCAGGTGAGCACCGCTCGTTACTCGCACGATGTCGCTACTCGCCATCTCTGGGCCACTCGCGACCCTTGTGTTTCTCGCGACGCTGTGTGACTCGGCGCGCTTATCGCGCCAGGCACCTCATCGCCGTGCCTCAACCGCCCTTATCGTCGTGTGCGCAGAGGGCAACCACTCCACATCGTCGGGCGCTCCCAGGTCCGTAAAAAGCGGCGGCTCGAGCGCGTCGTTATCTAAATTAAGGAGCTCCGCGTCGGGGCTAGGGAACGACCCGGGAGGGGGGACGGGGCCGCCGCCAGCGCGGCGGCTGAAGCTGAAGGAGTTTCTGACGATCACCAACAACTTCGACGAGAACGGCGTGCTGGGCGAGGGCAGCTTCGGCAAGGTGTACCGCGGCGTGTGGGACGAGGCGGCGGGCGGCAAGGGCGGCGTGGGCGAGGTGGTGCGCACGCAGGTGGCGGTGAAGAAGCTCAACCCGGAGAGCTTCCAGGGCTACGAGGAATGGCTGGTCAGTCGTTGTTGACTTCCAGGGCTGCGAGGAATGGCTGGTCAGTCGGGCTGCGAGGAATGGCTGGTCAGTCGGGCTGCGAGGAATGGCTGGTCAGTCGGGCTGCAAGGAATGGCTGGTCAGTCGGGCTGCGAGGAATGGCTGGTCAGTCATTGCTGGCGCCCCCCCCCCGCCCCCTTCATCGTGGTCGCGTCCTCCGCGCTCCTTACTGTCTCGCTCTCCGTGCCCTCGTTTTTGTCACCCTAACGCGTGCTCGTGTGTGTTGGAATCCTGGCGAGGCGGCTGTGTGCTGATCGTTCAACCGAGCCGTGTGTGCGTGGGGGGATGGGCGTGTGGGCGTGCGGGGCAGGCGGAGGTGCTGCTGCTGGACAAGCTGCGGCACCCCAACCTGGTGCGCCTGGTGGGGTACTGCGCGGAGAAGGGCGAGGCGCTGCTCATGTACGAGCTCTGCCCCAACGGCTCCCTCGACGACGTCCTCTTCGAACGTACGTCCTCTTCGAACGTATTTCCTCTTCGAACGTACGTCCTCTTCCAACGTACGTCCTCTTCGAACGTACGTCCTCTTCGTACGTCCTCTTCCAACGTACGCGCCCCGCCCGCGCGCGCCGCTCCGCAGTGCGTAGATGCGAATGCTATCTCCGTTATACTCCGCGTTCGCCCAAATTGACTTGTTCTTCCTTCGGTTTGCGTTCTTCGACTGGGCGTTCAGCTGTCCCTCTTTTAACATCTTTCCGCATTGTCGCTGGCGTGTGTTCCACCGGGTGGTGCCGTGGCCTCTGTGTGTGTGTGCGCGCGGGTGCGTGCGCGCTCCCCCCACCAGCGGAGGAGTACGTGCTGTCGTGGGAGCAGCGCGTGCGCATCGCGCTGGACGCGGCAAAGGGGCTGGCGTACCTGCACGAGAGCAACATCATCCACCGCGACTTCAAGGCCTCCAACATCCTGCTCGCCGAGGTCAGTGTCAGCCCAGCATCCTGCGCGCCGAGGTCGCAGCACGCACCACCTGGCAGCGCGCTGGGCCTGAGCGCTGCATTCAGCGTCGTCCATTCCGACCGCGCGCGTCCGCACTGCCCCGTTTGATGCCATGAGCGCCTCCCTCTTTCACCTGCTCCCTCTTCCACCTGCTCCCTCTTCCACCTGCTCCCTCTTCCACCTGCTCCCTCTTCCACCTGCTCCCTCTTTCACCTGCTCCCTTGCGCCTCTCTCCCATGCGCCTCTCTCTCATGTTTGCCTCACGCCGCCCATGTTTGCCTCACGCCGCCCATGTTTGCCTCACGCGCGTGCGGGTGCCCCCTGGCAGGACTACTCGGCGCGCCTAACGGACTTTGGCATGGCGCGAGCGGGGCCGGACGGCGGGGAGACGCACATCTCGACGCGAGTCATGGGCACGCTGGGCTACCTCGACCCCACCTACATGGAAACCGGTACATCCCCCCTTCCCGCTCCCTCCCTGCCGCCCTCCCTGCACCGCCACCACCCGGTGCACCTTCCACCTGCTCTCACTTGCTTCCCCCTTCCTTCCCCCCCGCCGCTATCTTCTCTTTCCCCCCTCTTTCCTTTCTCTGGTCCTCCCTCCGCCCCCCCTGCATCTTTCTCTCCCGTCCTCTCGTTCTGTCCTTCCCTCCCCCCTGCCTCTGTATGTCGATCCCTGCAGCTCTGCCTCCATGTCCCCCCCCTCCTGCCTGCTTACCCTATTTCTCACCGACCATTGACCGCCCTCCAACTGCCTCTCCCTCGTTCTCTTCCTTCCACCGCTTCCGTGTCCCCAAAAGGGGGTAGGAGAGGGGGAAGGGGAAGGACCATATGGGGCGACCCCTGCTTTCCCCCCTCCCACTTTCCCCTCTGCCTCGCTCATTCCCTACCCCCCTCACGGCCTCTCCCTCCCCCCCTGCTTAGCACCCTCCGTGCCCACCTGTACCATTGGGCATGGTCGGTCCCCAGTCACTCCCTCCCCCGGACCGCTCTCACCTTGCATGTTCCCTCTGCTGCCCCCCTGTGGCTGCGTGGTGGCAGGGCGGCTGACGAAGAAGAGTGACGTGTACGCGTTCGGGGTGCTGCTGCTGGAGCTGCTGACGGGGCGCCGCACCACGGGCGAGAGCGGCAACGACAGCCTCACCACATGGATTCGCCCGTTCCTGTCGCAGCGCCGGCCAGACCTGAACCTGCTGGTGGACCCACAGCTGAAGGGCGAGTTCAGCAAGGCGGGCGCCGTGAAGATGGCCATCCTGGGCAAGCACTGCATCCACGACGACCCCGGCCTCCGGCCCGACATGACCACGCTCGCCGAGAACCTCGAGCTCGTAGACATCACCGACCCCGCGCCACAGCCGCCCCCGCCCTGATAGGGGGAGGGTGCCTCGCAGGCTGTGCTAGGGTGACGCGTGCTAGTGTGCTTTTGTTGTGCATCGATGTGGTAGATGTATTTATAGCGGTGCATGTGCACCCGGGCTTAGAAGTGAATGCATATTACATGCATTTTTATTTGTTTTAGAAAATAAGGGGTCCATTCTATTGGCGTAGTTTGCATGGCTTAGTGACTGATCAAAGCAGTTCTCTCAGAATTAATATACGTACTATGTCACCATTGGCCCACTTCAAGATCTGCCAAAGGCCTACAATTATGTATTGGGTGGGGTAGGCTGTTATGTCAAACATGTTTAGTTATCATGCTTGTATAGACTGTATAGGGTCATCTTCTAGAGAGTACAACAGTTAGGTATATGTTTGTGTACTCTCTCTCTCTATTCATTAATTTTACTGTTTGATATGGTATCACGCGTAGGTAGGATCCCCCCCCCCCTCACGCTTCCGCTCGCCCCCTAGCTGGGCCCCGTCGTGCTCCTAGCCCCGTCGCGACCCTCCCTCGCCCCGTCGCGACCCTCCCTAGCCCCGTCGCGCCCCCTTCCTGGGCCCCGTTGCGCCCCTTTCTGGGCCCCGTAGCGCCCCTCCAGGGCCCCGTCGCGCTCCTCCCAGGCCTCGTAGCGCCCCTCCTGGGCCCCATTGCGCTCCTCCCAGGCCCCGTCGCGCCCCTTCCAGGGCCTCGTAGCGCCCCTCCAGGCCCCGTCGCGCCCCTTCCAGGGCTTCGTAGCGCCCCTCCAGGCCCCGTCGCGCTCCTCCCAGGCCCCGTAGCGCCCCTCCTGGGCCCCATTGCGCTCCTCCCAGGCCCCGTCGCGCCCCTTCCAGGGCCTCGTAGCGCCCCTCCAGGCCCCGTCGCGCCCCTTCCAGGGCTTCGTAGCGCCCCTCCAGGCCCCGTCGCGCCCCTTCCAGGGCCTGGTAGCGCCCCTCCAGGGCCCCGTCGCGCTCCTCCCAGGCCCCGTAGCGCCCCTCCTGGGCCCCATTGCGCTCCTCCCAGGCCCCGTCGCGCCCCTCCCTAGCCCAGTCGCGCTCCTCCCAGGCCTCAGTAGCGCCCCTCCTGGGCCCCATTGCGTTCCCCCCAGGCCCCGTCGCGCCCCTACCTGGGCTTGGTAGCGCCCCTCCAGGCCCCGTCGCGCCCCTCCCCAGCCCCGTCGCGCCCCTCCCAAGCCCCGTCGCGCCCCTCCCAGGCCCCCCCTCGCGCCCCTACCAGGGCCCGTAGCGCCCCTCCTGGGCTCGTAGCGCCCCTCCTGGGCCCGTAGCGCCCCTCTTGGGCCCGTAGCTACCCTCCTGGGCCCCGTCGAGCCCCTCCTGGGCCCCGTCGCCCCTGCTCGGCCCCGTCGCCCCTGCTCGGCCCCGTCGCGGCCTCTCGGCCACGTGGCGCCCGCCCGGCCCCTGTCGCGGCTGCCCGGCCCCTGTCGCCCTGCCCGGCCCCTGCTCGCCCGCCCGGCCCCGTCGCCCCTGCCCGGCCCTGCTGTGTCCTGCCCGGGCCCCGTCCCTGCCACCCGACCTTGTCGCTGCCGCCCGGCCCCGTCGCAGCCGCCCGGCCCCGTCGCCCCTGCCCGGCCCTGCTGTGTCCTGCCCGGCCCCGTCCCTGCCGCCCGGCCCCGTCGCTGCCGCCCGGCCCCGTCGCCGCCGCCCGGCCCCGTCGCAGCCGCCCGGCCCCGTCGCCGCCGCCCGGCCTTGTCGTGCCTGCCCGGCCCCGACGCACCTGCCCCGGCCCTCCATACTTCCTGGTACTGTCCCCCGTTCCCCGCACCACTTTGCACCCTCCTGCACTTTCCTGCCCCGCCTTGCATCGCACTGCACCTCACTGGATCGCACTGACCGCACTGCACCGCCCTGGACCGCACTGCACCGCACTGCATCGCACTGCACCGCACTGGACCGCACTGCACCGCACTGCATCGCACTGCACCGCACTGCACTGTCCTCCACTGCCCCTCATGGCTGCTGAGCTTCGTTTTGATGTTGAGGGTCAGCCTCTGGAGTTCGAGGCGTGGTTGGCTGACCTTCGCCGCCACCTCACTGGCCAGCGGCAGGACGGCCACCCGCTTTCTGCACACCTAGACGGTATGCTCCCCTGCCCTGACCCCCCTGCTGTGCTGCCCGCTGATCCCACGCCCGCTGAGCGCGAGTCCACTGCCGCTGCTGCCCTTGCCCGCTCTGTCTGGCTTTCCCGCGATGCCCTTGCTCAGCTCGCCATTAGCAATGCCCTCCCCCCCACTGAGCGCCCTCGCTTTAGAACCATTCCTACCGCCCAGGCCTACCTCGATGCTGTCATCAAGCGCTATTCTACCCCTCCTGCTGCCTCAGTGGGTCGCCTGATCCTTCCCCTGCTCTTTCCTGACCTGGCGTCTTTCCCCACTGTCTCTGACCTCGCTGCCCACTTGCGCTCGATGGATGAGGCCTGGCGCGCTGCCTGCACTGATGCTCAGCTTAGAGTCCACCAGCCTCCCATGACCTCTACCCTCTACCTCCTTGCCACCCGCCTACCTGACCGCCTTGCCGCCGCCCGCGACCAGTTCCTTAGCATCCACCCTGCTGCTCTCACCCTCACCGACTTTGTTGACACCCTGACTGCCATAGAGACTCGTCACCGCTCCATAGCCCTGGCGAGCGGTACAGTACCGGTCCCTATCTTTCAGGGTTGTGCCCCCGCTCAGTGTACCTTCTCCGACGGCTCTGTCGCTGTGGCTGAGACTGCTGCTGCAGTGCAGTCCCGCTCGGCGAAGGGCCGCCGCCCCAAGGTTGGGAGCGGCGGAGGCGGCGGGGGTGCGGGTGGGGGTAGTGGTGGAGGCGGGTCGTCCGGTGCCGGTGCGGACGTGGGGACCCTGCCCGGTCCAGCTGCCCCGCTGCCTCCACAGTTGCAGCAGCCGCAGCAGCAGCAGTCGCCGCAGCCGCAGCCTTCGCAGCAGCCGCAGCAGCCGCCGCAGACGAGGCAGGCGGGTACTCTCCCACCTGGGTGGCCTGGAGCTGGTGGTGGTCGTGCGCGTGGTGGTGCACCGGGTGGTGGTTCTGGAGGCGGGCCCTGTCAGTACCAGATCCAGACCGGTCCTCGCCGCGGCTTCGTTTGCGGTAAGATCGGTCATTCTACTCCTCGCTGTTTTCGTCACCTGGACGACCTGTTCCGCCAGCGCTTTGGCCCGGCGCCCGACCTCCCGGACTGGCACAGCTTGCTTAGGCGTAGCATTAGGGTTTTTGACTTGGACATGGATGCCATTGTAGCGGCCTTGCATGTGCTGTATGCTGATGACTCTAGTGTGCTTCCCTCTTATTTCCCCGTGTTGCCTAGTGTAGCGGTGCCTAGCGTAGACTCCCCTGCTGCGTCAGGCGTAGGATCTCCTGCTTTGCTTAGCCTTGGTGCTTCCACCGCTTCACTGCGGCCTCGCGCGACTGCTGCGCTTTCCTTCACCTTGGACTCTGGCGCCTCCCGGTGTTTCTTCCGCGACTCCACGACGCTGACGCCGCTGCCTGTTCCCGCTGCCGTTACTCTTGCTGACCCCTCCGGCGGTCCCGTCGTTGCCCGCAGTTCCACCTCCCTCCCCTGTCCGGCGGTTCCTTCGGGCACTCTCACAGGTCTGCATATCCCCTCGTTCTCCAGGAACCTAGTTGGTGTCGGCTGCCTCCAGGACCTTGGCGTCACCACTACGTTCCCTGGTCACGAGCGGTATGCTGTCTGTACCGAGGCCGCCACTGGTGCCCCCCTGTCCACTTTCCCCCGGGACCCGGTGTCCGGCCTGTTCACACTTGACACCGCGCCGTCCCCGGCTGGGTCTTCCCCCCCGGTAGTTGCGTCCACCCAGGTTGCAGCCGCGTGCTCCTGTCGGTCCCTCACTCACCCGACTCTCCTTTGGCACCACCGCCTTGGTCACCCTGCACTCCCACGTCTGCGTCACATGTCCCAGCACGGTCTCGTCCTTGATCTCCCCGGTTCGTTCCCCGAGTTTCCCTCCTCCCCCGCCCCACCGTGCACGCCTTGTGTCGAGGGCCGGCTCCGCCGTGCCCCTCACTCCTCCTCTTTTCCCCCTACCACCGCACCACTGCAGACTCTGCACATGGACGTCTGGGGCCCAGCCCCGGTCCATGGGCCGCGTCGCGAGCGCTTCTTCCTAGTGCTTGTCGACGACTTCACGCGCTACACCACCGTCTTCCCCCTGGAGCGGAAGGCCGACGTGCCTGACGTTCTCATCCCCTGGCTTGTCTCTGCTCGCGTCCACCGCGGTCTCCCTGCCTTGCGCCTTCACTCCGACCGGGGTGGCGAGTTTGCCTCAGGTGTCCTTGGTCGCTTCTGTCGTGCGGAGGGCATCACCCAGACGTTTACCCTGCCGGACTCCCCGCAGCAGAATGGGGTCGCTGAGCGACGCATCGGTTTGGTCATGGAGGTGGCTCGCACCTCCATGATCCACGCCGGTGCACCCCATTTTCTGTGGCCGTTCGCCGTGCGCTACGCCGCTCACCAGCTTAACCTGTGGCCGCACCCCCAGCGGCCGCAGGTTTCGCCGACCCTTCTGTGGACCGGGTCCCCTGGTGACGCGTCTGCGTTCCGCGTCTGGGGCTGCCTTGCTCACGTTCGTGCCTCTGGCACGGACAAGCTCACTGCCCGCACCCTCCCCTGCGTCTTCCTCGGTTTCCCCCTTGACGCGTCCGACTGGCACTTCTACCACCCGCCGTCTCACCGCTTCTTTCACTCTCGCGACGTCACCTTTGACGAGTCCGTCTCCTTCTACCGCCGCTTTCCCCACCGTGGTCCCCCGGTTACCCCCCCCCTTTTCCTGGTTCCTCCCTCCCTGGTGGTCCCTGCCCCTCCCCCCCCCCGCCCCCCCGTCCGGCCCCCTCTGGTGTGTCTCACGTCACCCCCCTCCCGTCGGTCGTCCCGGTTGAGGAGTCTTCTGACTCTGGTAGTCCTCCGGCGCAGTCCTCGCCATCTGTCCCTCCCCCGGTGTCTCCTCCTCCACCGCCTCCGCAGCCGCCGTCGCCGCAGCTGCTGCAGCCGTCGTCTCCGCCGCCGCCGCCGTCGCAGCCGTCGCTGCAGCCGCCGCCGCCGCCGCCGCTGTCGTCGCTGCCGCCGTTTGTGGACTCTGGGGGTGTCCCTTCTGGGGGTGCAGGTGTGGAGGGTTCGGGAGGCAGCCGTCGCGCAGCTTGTGGCCCTGGTGTTGGTGTTGTGTCGCCGCAGCAGCAGTCCCCGCCTGTGACCGCCCTCCGTCTGCTCGGCCTTCCGTCTCCTGACC